ATGCAAATAACAAAATATCTTAGCCAGGTACAGTGGTTTATGCCTATAATCCTAGCATTTGGCAGGCTGAGGCGGGTGGATTGCCTGAGCTAGAGCAAGACCTCGTCTCTTAAAAAAACATAGCTGAGCATTGAGGCGGGCATCTGTAGTCCCAGCTACTTGAGAGGCTGAGGCAAGAGAATCACTGAGCTCAAAAGTTTGAGGTTGCTGTGAGCTATGATGCTACGGTACTCGACTGAGGGTGACAAAGTGTGACTCTGTCTCAAAACAAACAAAACGGAAAAAAAAAACCCAGAAAACTCCCTTACTATTAAAACGTAGTTATTTTTTAAAAGAATAGTTCAAATTCCTGCCACTATGTTTTGAAAAGCCTTAAGCAAAGAATTTAGTAATCTCAAGTTGGTAGTGCCACCAGGTACCTATCAAAGACAAAAATATCTTCCCCAAACACATAGCAATTTAAACTTTTATTTTTTATTTATTATTATTATTTTTTGAGACAGAGCCTCAAGCTGTCCCCCTGGGTAGAGTGCTGTGGCATAGCTCACAGCAACCTCCAACTCCTGGGCTCAAGCAAGTCTCCTGCCTCTGCCTCCCAAGTGGCTGGGACCACAGGTGCCTGCCACAACGCCTGGCTATTTTTTTCTTTTTTTTTTTTTTGGTTGCAGCCATCATTGTTGTTTGTTGTTGTTGTTGTTTGTTTGTTGTTGTTGGCCCAGGCTGGATTCGAACCCACCACCTTAGGTGTATGTGGCTGGCGCCTTAGCTGCTTGAGCCACAGGTGCCGAGCCAATTTAAACTTTTAAAACCAAATTTGCTTTTGCCCATACCTCCCCTAGGAGTATTAGAAGGAATTGACTCTACTTGATCTCATGATTCCTTTCTTCCCAGTCTCTTTTAAACCCATTCAAATCTGCTCCAAGTAAACATCTGGTCCTACTGTGAATGCCAACTTCATTCTTCCTGTTGCTCAGGCCAGAAACCTTGATATTATTTTTGACTCTTCTTTTCCTCTTGCCAGTTATCCTATTTTTTAGATAATTCTTTTGGCTCTATTTATGAAACTGCCTTTTACAAATTAATGAAGTGTTTTGAGGTAAGAACTGGGATAAGTGTTGGGGGATTGGAGGCCCCAGTTCCCTGAACCCAGTTGACCTGGGTTCAATTACTCAGGTGAGCTGGAAAGTTCAATTGAGGCTTTGCAGTAATCAAAAGTAAAAACAAATGGAAACTGGAAATAAAACTGGAGTGGCACAGGCCGTGTGGATAGAAAGCAAAAGTAATGACACAGGGTTTTCCCCATTCAAGGCTGGACAAGGACCCCATTTTCCAGGCCCAAACAGACTTTTTTTCCCACCAAACTGCACTCTCTGGACACAAATAAGACAGGAGAAAAGCAGTTTTTCCAGTATTTCATGTAAGTTAGGCCCCTTGGGGAGTGGACCTTCTGCCACTTCTTCTTAGAACTGGGAACTGTATTCATTTGTTCATACCCTCATTCAGTCACTAATCAACATTAAAGTCTGTCAAGTCCTGGCCAAGTATAATTCCCCAAACAGTATAAAATCTCTAAATGAAAAGACTTATGGGAGGATTTCTCACTTGGGTTTCCCCTCCTGCCAGAGGCTCAGTGCCTTTCTTTCATTCTCTGTTCCTTTCTATTTAATAAATTCTATCTTATACTGATCTCTGTGGTCCATGTGTTCATTCTTTGACTCTCCTAGACCTACTGAGGCAAGAAAGTAAAAGCAGAGCTAAAAGATCTGTCTTAGCCACCCTATGTAGGCATTAGCCAGGCCACAGATGTCTCTGCTATCTGTATGCTCCTCCCTTGACATGTGCGGGGCCTAGACTATAGCCTTGTAGCTTCCTTAGGCCTCCGTTGCCTCTGAGGGCAGGTAGCCTGACCGGTCTCAAGGGCATAGGGGAATCTGACCTTCCCCCTGAGTCCCGGGACCTTTGGATTATGTCATCCCTCACTCAGTTTTATGACCCTCATGTGCACTCTAGCCCTGAAAAGTGGATAAAAGAGAGGCAGGAGATTTGGATTGGGAGGGGGCTAGGTTTTTGAGACACTAATGTTCCAAGTTCCCCGCCGCAGAAATAAAGCCGCTTCCTCTGATCAACTGGTGCCTGGAGTCTTCTGTCTGTGTTGGTTTCCTGCTACACTACTGCAGAAAGAAATTCCATCAACAGTAACCTGCATAAGTTCAGAGTAACAAAGAGAAATTTTATTTAGGAAGAACAAAGAATGTTTAGAGGACTTCCAAGGAGAGTTGGAAGTGAGTGGGTCCCTCTTGCAGATAGACAGAATGTGAGGGAGATGGGGACTGCAAAATATTCTCTGTTTGAAATTGGCTGCATGACTTTCACTGGTCATTGATTGTCTCTTTCTATGGGTCATTGGTTACCTGGATTACTTCGTATCAATATTCTTACAGGCCCTCCAAACATCTTAGTTCAGCAGGCCAGATTTCCTTACCATTCCCCTGGAAGGCTTTTTCTTTAGTGTTCCTTCTTAGTAAGGTTCCCAAAACTCTGTGAAGGAACAAGTTTAGCCAGAAATAGTAATGATAAGCCACTGTTTTCTGTTCGCTTGATAACAGTCACTGTTCCCTTGCTTCCTTCTCTATAATTGCTACTCTACAGTTGCACAGCTGATCATCAAAAAGATTCTTAACTTTCTCTACATAGCTGGTGGTTGTAAAGATCCTTAACTTTCTCCAGAGATATCATCATCTTTTCTGAAACCTAAAGATAGTTTCTAAGATATCTTCCATGCCCTGCATTCCAGGGGTTTGATTAACCCTCCCCAGCCAAGAAACTGACTCAACTGAAATTATGACTCCAGGAACTAAAGCATCACAATAAGATGATTTCCACACCCCTATAATTTTGCCCTGAACCTAGACAATTAGCAAACCTAATTGCTTAATCCTTTGCCCACCAAACGATGTTGTTTTTTTTTGGCCGGGGTTGGGTTTGAACCCATAACTTCTGCCATATGGGACCGGCACCCTACCCTTTTGAGCCACAGGTGCCACCCCACCAAACTATGTTTAAAAACCCTGTCTCTCAAATTCTCAGAGATATGCAGAGTAAATTCTTTCTGTGCTATAAACCTTGCTGTCTCGGGACGTTGGCTTACTTTTGATCAGAAGGCAATGAACCTGGTTGGGCAGCAACACTTAAATTATATCCAGAATTCATCCTCTTCTCTCGCTCTCTACTGCTACCACCTTGGTCTGATGCCTTCTTGCATCTCATCAAAGTAGTTCTAGTCCTTCTTTTGAAATGTAAATTAAATTCCATTACTCTTCTCAAAATGACTCCCCATTTTACTTAAGAGTGAAAGTGCGCTCAGCGCCTGTGGCTCAAGTGGCTAAAGCACCAGCCACATACACCCAAGGTGGTGGGTTCGAATCCAGCCTGGGCCTGCCAAACAACAATGACAGCTGCAAC